GAACTAGGACTGGTCCTGTGCTACACACTTTGCACGTGTTCTGTTTCTGAGCAGCCTCTGCTGGCAGAACTGACCCTCCCTCGTGTGTGAGGGGAGAGAAGGTGCTGCCACTGCTGTGCTCTGGTGTCCTGGGCTGACACCTGGGCTGCTCCTGACTTTTCTCCTGAACAGTGTTATTGTCAATGCTGATCAGTAATATTTAAAGGAATACCAGCCCTGCTGCTGTTTGTGTCCTTGATAATGAGGAGATAAGAAAGGCATCTCTTGATAATACAGGTGGATGAAGTAATGAAAAATAATAATCTAAAACTTGGTAAGAGATGGGGTTGCTCAGGCTGCTTATCCAGTGGATATAATGTACCTTTGTTATCCTGCCTATTTTTGCACTGCCTTCTCATTTTCTCAAGCCTTTTATGTGAGGATGCTTCCATTGTATACCAGTGAAGGAATTGAATTATGTAGGTAGCAGAGGCTAAAGCTGAAACTCCCTAGCATCATCTTTCTTAAGTATCACTATCAGGTAAGAAAATAGGTCTGTAAGTGACACTATTCATCTGAACAAGAAACTGTTATCGGGGTACTTGTCAGCTGTGTAATGCTGATACCTGGGCTGGCCTGTGGAACCAGATACCACGGCAGATAACGGGGGTTGGGGGGATGGTGTCTGCTTTTGGGCAGAGTTGGACCCTGAGTGCCAGAGCAGCAGGGGCAGAGAACTCCTCACAGTGCAGCCATTTCCCCTCCTCAGCCCCAGGGCCTGTGAAATTCAGAACTCAGCTTCATTCAGAAACATTTGCCTCTTCTGTACCTACTACAACAATAACAATTATTTTTGCAAACAATTTGCATATATGGTCATGTGAATAAATTTAATAACTGACTCCAAGAATTAACTTGCAATAGAATACTGACAGAAACAAAAGCAAAGTCATTGGAAGTATTGAGTAAATGAAGTATATTCCATTAATATTTCTTGCATACGTGACATTAACTGTAAACCTGGGGAACAACGTGTACAAGGAGGTAGCAGCCACTGATGTGACAAACTGATTGAGCAAGTAGAATTCTCTTCTGTTTTGCTGCCAAAAGGGAGGTCCATGTTACAAGTGTGAGCATTTAAGAGTCAGAATTCTGTTAACTTTACCACAGTATTATAGACTGACTTTCATCTGGACTCTTCATTACAAATGCTTGTACTCTACAGATCTGAGTGCTGAGTCAAATCCTCCATCTCACAGGAAGAACTTCTTAAGGTAAGAATTTCAATACCTTTTTTGTACTTTGAGCTGCACTTCCCATCTTTATTTGACATTTCTGTTTTTTTCATGGACAAATGTCCTGTGTATCACAGATATTATGAATGGAAACAGACCAATTTAGACCCAAAAGATTTTGGCAATGAAGTTACTATGCAAAGGAAATGACTTGTTGACTGAAGAATGCTATTACGAATGTAGAAACTTGTTATTCTGGCATCTTTGTTCATGTAAGCAAGAGCTTATACAGACCTAAATGGATGGGAGAGGTAAAAGTGTGTGGGGGGAATGTTTTATTGGTGACTCCTAAAGGGTCTTAAAAGGTGACCAAATAATCATATACCTTTCTTAAACTGTTCAGTGTGATAGCCAAAATTGCTGAAGAGGTCTGTACCAATACAGAAAACTGTCCATAAATTACATTTTAAAAGACATTTCTCCTGGAATTTGTGTTCCTTTTTCAATGTTCCTCAGTGCATTGCGTTGGGCTGATGGGAAACATTGTGGTGATCAATCAGCCTCTGAAGAAAGAGGTTATGCTAGGAAAAACAAGCTGACTCAAAGCTTTGCTGCAAAGACAAAATTAAAAGAATACAATTTGAATTCCAGCAAAATCCTGACTTTTTGACAAGCTGAGTAAATGAGATTCTTATAGGTGCAGTGTCTTGTAAATCATTAAAGAATGGAAGCTGCAGACTGTCTTGTAAGTGCTTCCTTACCATTTCAGGAACAGGCTGAAACAGAATTCCTGGAACATGTCAGGGCAGACTGGCAGCTTGCTGGAATTCAGACAGGATGCACAGAGGATTTTAGTACTTGAAGGCTACCTACTTGCTTTAGAGCATATGCAATACTTCTGCCCTTGGGCTAGAGTTCTGTGTTGCACTCCATAATTTTACCCTCTGGGCACAGCAATCTCTGAAACAAAAAGAAAGTATACCTGATGAAAGCAGGATTAGTTTGAACTGTTTTTATAGGGATTTACAACCATAGAAACACATGTTCTAAGAGGAACATTTACAGGTTGTTTAAAAAAATCACACAACACAGTTCACAATAACAAGGAGGCTTTATAAGGCTTGCATATGAGTAGATTGCTGGTCTACCACCAAAAACTTTTTAGCAAGTTCTCTTAGATTTTTATATTATTATGTATATAAATGAGCTCAGTGTCTCAATGTTAAGGACTATGTGTTGGTTTGGTTTTTCACTTTAAGAAATGAAATATCAAAACCCAAAGTCACACATCATTTAATCTTTGTATTAAAGGTAAATTGTTACACAGGAAGCCAGTTATTCTAAAATTAGTTAACCACTCCTTTCTGCACCAAAATACAGCTTGCACACAAGATGATATCTGTCCTTCATGCAATCTGCTGATGTATTTGCCCCCAAGGTCTATAGGAATGGCTACAAACAGATAAGCAGTAAGTTGAGTCATTCTAACCTTACCAACATTACTTCCCAATTGTGCAAATTCAGAGGAATTAATGCACGTGCAACTGCTCCCAGTGAGAACAGCATGTACAGGAGCACCTCAGAGGATATTGTTTGTTCTTCCCTGTTCTCTGTTCCTCAGAAATGCAGCTGAAAGAGCAGCCAACCCACAAACATACATGCTTAGGACTACTGCTACTTTTAAAAATGGAGTATTGTATTTTTTTAAAATTTGAGCTTTCAATTTTTCATTTGAAATTTTTTTTTAAATGTTCAAATGAAAAATTGGAGCAAAGTCAAGGTGAACAAGTAACTTTTTTTCTATCTAGGTTCTAAATTAAAAAACAGCTGTGGAAAAATATATCAGTTTGGAGCTGGCCTTGATGTTCCTGTGAAAAACTTCTGCCATCACATATGTAAACAGAAAAACTATTGAGGTCAAGGTCTTCACTGAAGTCTAGTGTTTGCTCTAATGAATTCCCCCAAATGGTTTCATTCTAAATTAGGGCACCATATTTTAAATGTTATTATTCCTTTAAAGGAGACTGTAAGACTCAAGAGATCCTGGTGAGAAGAGTACAGAGATGCTGAAAGAAGACCCTTTTTAGCCATATTTTCAGCCATAATGCCTCCTAATCTCATGGGCTCTTTGTAGTATGGCTGGCCTGTTGTGGCTACTGTTAGCTGGGGTTATGCACTTTAGATTGGATCTTGTGAAAAATTAAATAAAACATTTCATTTCCATAGCAATTAATTTTCTTTCTTGTGAATGTCTCTAGGCAGCATAGAACATATTTCACTATGTGCTAACTATTCAATCTTTTTTTGCAATGGCTGTTCAAAGTTTCCTCTGAAGTCTACTTTGAGGTATTTTGTTTTCTGTGGTGATCTACTGATTGTTCTGCCATTAAGACATGTAACTGTTGGCACCAAAAACATTAGAGTTCCACATCTTTCCCTAGAGTTATTGTGGTATGTATCAGAAATCTCTCTGTCAATACTGCTTTCCTTTCTTAAAATGTATATCCTTCAGTCAGGAATTCTTGGTCCAACACTGTATCCTATTTTTGATCTCATTCTTTAAGGCTGTGCTTCAGGTAGGGCTTTTCAGTTCTGTGACAAACTGGACAGTAAAAGAACACTGAAACTACATTCTCCTTTGGCTTTGTGTAGTGTGTGACCCAACCAATGGAACTGTGAGTGCTGATTTGACCCAAGACAGTAAATAACCAGGCACCCATTGGAGGAAAAATCAGGGAAAAGAGAAAACCAGAACATGTGTGCTGTCATTGCTCTGGTGTCTTGAAGCCTAAGCAGAGTGTTAGTGTCAGGAATTACCTCTGGAAAGCAAAGTAGCTCTAACCTCTGCACACATCTGAGCAGGTAATGAAGCTGATGGTTTTACAAAATAAAAATGTTATGTCTGCAAGCAGGTACGTGTTTCTGTTTCATGCATGGACTAGGGGTTAAACCAATGATTTAATTATGTCATGCAAGTATTTGTTCCGTGCTTGCAAGCTGCTGCTCATTTTTCTGCACAATGACTCAAAGTGAGAAGTCATATTTGGGTACATGAGGGGGAAAAACTGATTGCAGTTTTTTTGTTCAGAGAACCAATCAGACTTTGTCTCTAGGTTCCTCCTGCTCCTTCCCCCAAAGGCCCAGTATTATGGTTGGAGATGCAATAGTTTTTTGGTTTTCCTATAAAAATAGAGCAATTTGTTATTTGACAACCATTATAAAAAGATTTGCAGATAATTTTTAAATCTGGTTTCCTATATAAGACTAAGGGAGGAATGGAACTAGCTTGAACAAAAACCAAAACAATTCATGTGTTTGGTAGCAGCCCCTTCTCTTAAAATGCTGCCTTTTATTCACAGCCATCCTTCAGTTCCCCTTACTGGAAATTCCCTCTTGGAGTGCACTTACTTGGAGATATCAGTAAGTCTTTGTGTCATTAAGTGTATATGACTTGACTGCTATGTTGGTTTTTTTTTCTTTTAAAACACAAGAGTCAGTTTAAAAAGGTCTGGAGTGAACAAAAGTCCATTACTCTCAATGGGCAGAATTCATGTGGAGGTCCAGTGTGCAAAAAGGGACACACTAAAACTTCACCAGCCTGACATGAAACTCAGACAACTTTTCTGGGAGAATGCTTGCTCCAAAATGGCCATATTTGTGTTCAAATTTTGTTTTCTGTTATTTTGATTCCTACTGTACAGTCTGTGAAGACAAACAAGACTGTATTTAAGAAATAGTTGATTTCATCAGTCACTTCTCCTAATATAAATAAACAACCCACAAGGCTCCAGATATTGATTTATTACTTAGATTAGAAGTGCTAAGATTATGCAATCCTTTTGCTGATATCAGGAATGAGGTGAGAAGCTCTTTACTCTTTGCAATCTTGCACTGAATCCTGGGTGAAAACCAGAGGCCTTGGCTTCAGCCTCTCCTCAAGATCCCTTTCTCTTCTTTTGACCTCTGTGTTAAGGCTGAAAATCAGCGTCAGTGCAGAGTGACTTCACTGTCTGGGAAGTGCTGTTACACTCATCACATCCCACAGAGATCTTCAGTGAGAGCTTCTTACTGGAAGGATACAAAGGAGTTGCAACACGAGAGACAAGGAAAATCCTTTCAGTCAGATTTGATTTTCAGGATACTGTGACATTTTGTTACACAAAGATAATTTTAATTTTTGTTGACATACTCCTCTAAAAGTTTACAAAGACATTTTACACATCTTGTAGTGAATGTCAGCTTCCTGACCATAGGCTTCCTTGTCTTATCTTCCTGTTTTAAAGCCTTTGGAAGTATCACACATCCTCAGGGAATTACTAGTTGACCACAGCATTATTTATAAAGAGCAAGTGAATTCATTTCTGCTTTGTTTTCGAAACAGAATGTTTGGTGTCTTTCAAAGAACTGGTTTAAATGAAAATGTATCTCATGACAAACAAAAGAGCATATTCTATATCAGTAAATCCTATGAAAATCAGACAGGTATTTGCATACCTGTAGCTGCAGGAAAGGTTTCCCATGGTGCTCTTTCTAAAGCCTCCACATAACAAAGTGTATTTGACTCTTCACCCTGTCTTAGTAAGCATAATTTTAGAACTTGTTATTCTAATGATAACCTGACAGATTATATTTTTTCCTTAATTGTAATTAACCAAAATTAGTTTTCAATTTTGCTGAAATTATTAGTTTGACCTAGATGTTCATCTTTGTTGAGCATCCCCAAGAACACCACTGATGTCTAAATGTCCGTCAGTGGTGCCTGCTCTGGGGACATGAGTGGACAAACCCTGCAGAGTGGGGCTCCACCTTGTCCATGGCCAAGAAGAGGTTGATGAGGTGGTTCCATTGCTTGGTGAGATCTCCAGCAGGGAGGGCACAAAAGGAGAGGACAGGAGAGGGAAGAGTTACACTCAGCAGAAGTGCACAACCTGAAGCACCTGGAATCCAGCTGGCAGCAAGGACATGCAGTCTGCAGGAGAGATGGAAACTCCGACCTGTTGGAGGTACTATGAAACTGCACCTGGAAAATGTGAGACCTGCCAGCCTGAAACAGAGATGAGTATGGTAGTAGTGCAAGGAATCTGTGTTAGAAATCTGCAAAACAAGGAGTGGCATAGAGAGAGGTGAGAGAACAGTTAACTAATGCAAAAGTCAGGGGACATCATATGGAAATACCAGACAGAAGGCACAGAACATACAGGAGTGATTTCCACCCAGCATGAAGTTGGACTGTGGAACGACATCAAGCTGTAGATGCTGGAAGCTCAGAGGACTAAGAAAGCAACTGGATTTCTTTTCCATTGTCTATCAAGATCAGATACAGGCTACTTCTAGCTATAGGTCTCAAAGTTGCAGAAGTCCTCATCTTTCCAGGAGATGGCCAGAGAACAGCATTGTGTTCTACCTCAGGCATTGTTCTCATCCACCGTGGTCATTCCAGTGCTTTAGCTGGCTTAGGCACAAGACATGCCACAAGACTTACCTTCATTACCCACCAGCAGGATACATCAAGGTAAATCTGTACTCACTTGATTCAAAATCTAATACTGTAAGAAGTACAAAATAGCTGGAATAAATTACAAGTAGATTTTCTTGCCTATTTACTGTTCATGACAAAGATTTAGAAAAGAAGCTGTGTCAGTGTTCTAGTTGGAAAAAAATTTGTGGCAAGTTGGTTTGCCCAACCTTTTCTAACTATTTAGGGAAACTAGATCAAAAAAGTAATCTGCATGAAACAGATATGCCTTTGGGCATCTTGTGCAATCCAGGTTCTCTTATTAGTGATGAAATGACATTAATAAAAACAATGGAGTTTGAAACAAACTAGAACAAAATGAGAGTATAACAGACTGCCCCAAGTGTCATATAGTCCAAAGAGAGCAAAATCCACACAGTGATTCAGCTCAGCCTCTATCCAAGGAAGTGATGTGCTTTTTGCTTCTCTAGGAATTATTAAATATAACATCCACATTGCATGTGCAGTTGTTGCTAGAACCTTTTAGCCTCCTGCAAGGTGCTGTCTTCTATGGAAACAAATCTGTTACCAAATATAGCAATGGCTATGTAATATATGCCAATTTTGTTTTTTCACACTGTCCCACTCCATATGGGGCGGGGGAGGATCCTGCTGGACTTCTGTTCCACAGAGAAGGAGCACCAAATGTTTCCTCTTCCCCTACACACTATTAAGAAGTGGCATTGTCAAAAACAAGTTATTTTATGCCAGTTCTCTTCCGAAGAAGCCTCAGACTCCAAAACAGCTAAAACCATCTGGCAAACTCTTGCATGAATCATGGGGATATTTGTAGCCTCTGGCTTTTTGAACCACGCTGTGAGTAATCCCAGTCACTCTCGTCAGCACTGCTGCTGAAACCCGTTCCTTGTGTTCTGAATAAAGACGAAAGGGGCCTCCGACCGGGCCTGGTGGTCTCCAGATTGTCAGGAGCCAA